AGATATGTGCAGTGTGCATAGGAATTTGTTCATAGTTTTTTTTAAACCATAGTCCTGCCCTCCAATGGTCTGGGGGACAGTGAACTGGAATCCTGTTTAAAAAGTTAGAGGACCGGCCGGGCGCGGTGGCTCACGCCTGTAATCCTAGCACTCAGGGAGGCCAAGGTGGGCAGATTGCTTGAGGTCAGGAGCTCGAAACCAGCCTGAGCAAGAGCGAGACCCCGTCTCTACTATAAAAATAGAAAGAAATTAATTGGCCAACTAATATATATAGAAAAAATTAGCCGGGCATGGTGATGCATGCCTGTAGTCCCAGCTACTCAGGAGGCTGAGGCAGGAGGATCGGCTTGAGCCCAGGAGATTGAGGCTGCTGTGAGCTAGGCTGACGCCACGGCACTCACTCTAGCCTGGACAACAAAGCGAGACTCTGTCTCAAAAAAAAACAACACTCAGCCTGTAATCTAGCTCTTGGGAGGCGAGGCGGGGGATTGCTCAAGGTCAGGAGTTCAAAAACCAGCCTGAGCAAGAGGCGAGACCCGTCTCTACTATAAATAGAAAGAATTAATTGGCCAACTGACATATATATATAAAATTAGCCGGGCATGGTGGCTCATGCCTGTAGTCCCAGCTACTCGGGAGGCTGAGGCAGGAGGATTGCTTGAGCCCAGGAGTTTGAGGTTGCTGTGAGCTAGGCTGACGCCACGGCATCACTCTAGCCTGGGCAACAAAGTGAGACTCTGTCTCAAAAAAAAAAAAAAAACACATAAAAAGTTAGAGGACCCCGCCCTAGACCGCGCATGCTGGGACCGGGGTGCTCCATGGAGGGGTGGCGCGGTCCCAAGTGGGCGAGTGGGCACAGTCGTTTCCAGTGAGCTCTCGCTGTCGTCCCACCCCCAGCAAAACTCCTTTCCTGGAAGGCGGAGGCCGAGCAGACCAGCTCACTCACTTTCAGGCGTTCAAGGGCAGATGAGGCACCTGGGATGGCCAGGCAAGTGTGTCACCAGAGAAGCACTCTGGGGGGGGGTCTGGGTTGCTGTCGTGTCACCACAGCCACAAGGAAGGCACGGTCCACGTTCAAGACCTAGCCAAAAACGGGGAGAAAGGACAAGGGGTGTTCTGCCACAGGCTGGGGCCTTTTTCACGTTTCCTGATGTCTGCTAGAAAACGCTTCACAACATCTTCAGAAGCTGGGATGGGGGAGGGGGTTAAATATGAGAAGGGGGTTGGCACTAAGCATCATAACTGGCAGGGACTGGAGCGGGGCCGTGGGGAGCTAGGAGCAGAGAGCCGACTCTGTTCACTGACCGTCTGCTGCAAGCCAGGCACGGGCGCTACAGTCGCTGCCGAGAAAGGATCGAGGGCACAGACAGGGAAGCTGGGCCACCTGCCTCCAGTCCTGCCTCTGCCACTTAGGGTTTATCACCTTGGGTAAATTATTTAACCAGCTCTATGACTCAGTTTCCTCACCGGCAATGATGCGAGGCCAGTAACCTCTACCTCGTGGGCTGCTGCTCCGAGGATTAAATGAGTTTATAGCTGCAAAACGGGTACATCAGTGCCTGGCACATGGCAAGCACGATGTGAGTTTCTGTTCGATGAGATTCAATACGTGATGGGCCCCGTGTTGCTCGTGAAGTGAGAAACTCTCGAAGCCTGAACACCCCCAACCCCCAGACTCGGGCTTGTCAGTTGTCCTCTTGTCACCAAGCATGAAGCTCTCCACGCCGTCCCCCTTTCTCTGTCCTCCCCTCTGGGAGTCCCTCTGCTTCTTCCCATCAGGCAAGGACCTTTTAGTCAGGGTGGTAAAAGAAGTGGGCGGGGGCTGCGGAGCCCCTAGGGGCTAGGGGTAGGGTGACACCAGGCTGCCCGCCTCCGCCGGCCGGTGGCCCATGCGTCCTGCCAGGCTGCAGCTGACGGCACGCCCAGGGTGGGCGGATGCGGACTGGGCTGGAGGCAGATGAATATGATCACTATATTACCAACCCCACTCCCTCCCCCACGCTTGCCCCTAATGGCGATTATTATACTTATTAGAGGCTCAGCTGCCAATGGTTATTGATTCTCCCTGCTGCAGCATTTTAATCAGGGATCGGGAGCTATTGTTAGCAACGGGAGCCTCCCAGGCCCCAGGACAGGTGCAGAGCAGGGCAGCGGGGCCTTTGCAGCCAGGCAGGTGAGGTCCCCTGGGGCTCAGAGTCCTGTAGAGCACGCACCCCAGAAACATTCTGCCTCTGTCTGGTGGCAGGGAAGCGGGGCGGGGTTGGGGGTGATGGTGACACCCTGGGGTTCCGTCCACGGAGGCCACTGGCAGTTTTTTCCCAGCTGGGGCACAGCTGGGGCTGGCTCTGCTGGGGGCACCACCAATCCGCCTGGCCTCCCCGGGGAGGAGTCTCTTCCCTGGTCCCCTCCCCGGTCACCTAGCATGGTCACCACACACTCTGCCCAGTGGCGCTGAGGGCTGAACTGGGTGTGTTTGGGTCTCTGTGGAGCCAGGTGAGGGCCGGTGACAGGGTGAGGTGGGACTAGCCTAGCTGGGGTGTGGCCACAACACTCCGACCGTTTTTCCAGGGTTTGGGGTGAGGGTGGGAGTGAATTAATGATCGTCAAACCCCTATCGGGTGTCAGGCATTGTATTAGGGGCTTTGCCCGCGTTAATCCTCACGCCAGCCTTCCCTAGGGCACGGCGTTCAGCCCATTTCACAGAGGAAGTGGAAACTCGGAGAATCAAAGTCACTTGCCCAAGGTCACTCAGCCAGGACGGCGCAGAGCTGGGACTCCACCCAGGTCTTACACTTGCATAGGTAAGAAAACAGACCGCTGGTGGCAGAATCTTCCAGACCTATGAGGAAGTTAGTCCTGCACAGCCCAACTCTGTTCTGCGCAGGCTCTGAGCACCCTGGACGGACTGGGTCCACCCACAGGTGACTGCAAGAGACCTGAGCCACCTGTCTGGGCTCGGAGTCGGGGGTGGCCCTGGACTGGGGGGGGGTCCTGTGGCCCCCCCACTCCGGCTCCCTCTTCCACTGGCTCGCCAAGGTGAGGCCGCCCTGGCTTTGTCCACTCCTGCCCAGACCCCAGCCTTGGTCCTGGGGTCCTGGCTGCCAACCGCGCTCTCCCCCGCCCGGCGCGCCGTCCTGGCTCCTGGCTCGGTTTCTTCGAGCCACGGCACACGAAGCCCCCACGGCAAGTGCGGAAAGCGGAGAGAGGCCAATAAAAGTCAAGTGGAAATTCAATAAATCAAAGATATTAAATATTATAAAATGGGTTGCATACACCCACAAACAAATGGATGTGGAATGTGAGCGTTTTCAGTCCTGCTGAAAATCTGAACTGGATTGGGGGGAGTGGTTGTGACCGACTGCAGGCCTTTGCAGCGTCACTGGGGAATTCTGAGTCCAGGTGGGCACGCACCTGCCGGCTCGTCCAGAGCAGCCTGGACAGGCCATGTCCCAGGCCCGTTGTTGCTGAACGTCTTAGAAAATGCCTTAGCAATCCGGTCACCAGTGCTCTAATGCTCTTTGGCGCCGGGGCTCCTCCCCTTCTGAAGGAAGACAGGCCAAGGAGGCAGCAGTGGCTGGAGGGGGCCCCCATGCCTCCTCTGGGCACTCCACGGGCTCCTGCTCTCCTCCCAGGTTCCTTCCCCTCCCCCATCTCCTCTGAGGGCCTAACGATTGGCTGGCGATGGCGGGCAATGATGTCATCTCTGAGATCACCCTGGCAGACTGGCTCCTGGGCTTCCGGCAGAGCTGCCCGCGTCCCCTCTTGCTCCTGTGGGCATGGCCAGCCTCTGTCTTGGCCCCGTCTTCCCCTAGCCTTTGACTCTGGCATTAGAGCCAGCCCCTCTTTTTAAGAATTGGTCTGTGCCTTTTCCTCTGTCCCCTCCACCTCCCCTCCCTCCCGCGCCCCAGTGCACTATTCCTCTAGGATCTTTCAGAAGGCAGTGGCCGCGCCCTGCGCCCAGCTCCCCGCTTGAGGAGCCTCGGGTGTGGTGTCCCAGCCCCGGTGTCTCTGACTCCCACCCCACCCCGCATGCTGCTCACGGCCTCTGCCCTGCAGGCCCAGCCGCCGGCAGCCTGGCCGCGTCTCCTCCTGCTCTTGCCCACTGCCCCCTCTCATCCACGTGCCTGCGCCCCTGGGTGCCGACACCCACCCCTGCCCGCGGTGAGGAGCATTGCTTGCTAGGGGAAGGCAGCTTGGGAGGGGGGAACGCTGGAAGCCCCCTGATGAGCCCGAGACTTTTCTCGTCTGTAAAATGGAGATGGCACCTGATGGCAGGTTGGATGCAATGAGACAGTGCTTAACCCGGCGTCTGGCGCACAGCGGCGTCCCCGGGCCCAGGTCCCTGCCGCCCTCCCCTCTCTCCCGCTAACTCACGTCCTTCCAGCTGCACGGTCGGGCAGGGGCAGGGGATGTGACAGACCTGGGGGTCCGTCAGCAGCTGGGAGGCCTGATGCTGGCCGGGGCCATGGTGGTGCTGCCGGGTCACCTTGGCCTCGCCTGTGTCACCTGCCGCCCGCTCCCAAGGAGTGACATATCGGGATCCACATAACCCCAGCGGCTCCTGATATGCCGAGAGCCGTGCTGAGTGGGCATGGCAGGCTGAGCCCGCAGAGATGAAAGGAGCCGGTGTTGTAATCTCGGCTATCATGAGCATGATGAGTTTCTCCCGTGAAACTTGGAAACGCATCAGAGCGGCGGGCTGCCTTGGCCCCTGCCCTCGCCAACTGCGATGCCAAGACAAAGGGTCTTTGTTCAATGCCGCCTCCCCCAGCTCCGTGCCTGCAGCTCCCGGGCTGTCCTGATGGCAGGGAGGGAGGGTGCAGGGCTGCCGGGAAGGTGACCTTTCATGGGAGAGGGGCAGCTCTGCGGGACGGCTGAGACCCATGCTCAGGGACTGTCCTGCAGTTTCTCAGAGGCCAAGAGCAGCCCCAAACCTTGGTCACCTGAGTGCTGGCTGGCCCCAAAAGGGGCTCAAAGACTGGGAACTTAGGGTACGCCGCATTCCTCTCATAGCATGACAACAGCTTCCGTGTATTGAGCTCTATATGCACAGACATTATTTAATCTGATCCTCATGACAGCCCTGAGAGGGGGGTATTATTCCCATTTTGTGGATGTGCAAAGTGGAACACAGCAACTTACCCTGTGCTGGAGCTAAGATTCAAGCCCGCGTTCACCTCCACGGCTTGGCCAGACCAGGCCTTGCTATGGGAGGCGCTGAGGTCGGTGGCATCCTTACCCCAAGATGCAAGGTGCTGGCCGGGCGCGGTGGCTCACGCCTGTCATCCCAGCACTCTGGGAGGCCGAGGCGTGTGGATTGCTCGAGGTCAGGAGTTCAAAATCTGCCTGAGCAAGAGCGAGACCCCGTCTCTACTAAAAATAGAGAGAAATTAATTGGCCAACTAATATATATATAGAAAAAATTGGCTGGGCATGGTGGTGCATGCCTGTAGTCCCAGCTACTCGGGAGGCTGAGGCAAGAGGATCACTTGAGCCCGGGAGTGTGAGGTTGCTGTGAGCTAGGCTGACGCCACGGCACTCACTCTAGCCTGGGCAACAAAGCGAGACTCTTTTTTTTTTGAGACAAAGATGCAAGGTGCCCATCAGTCAGGGGCCAGCATGGCAAGAGAGGTGGCAAAACATGAACAGGTCAGAGTGAGGGAACTGGCGAGGGAGGGGGAACACCTGAAGGCAGGAGGAGGACCTGGCCAGGGCCACCCTGGGATGAGGGGCCACCCACAAGAGCTGTGCCCTGGTGGGCGCACGGCAGGCGCGGAGGGAGTGTGGCGAGGGAGTAAGTGAGGAATACTTCCGCAGCTTTCCCCCACAGCCCGGGCCCCACCGCTGACCCCCGCTGCCCTGCCTGGTGCAGACTTAGAAGCCGGTCCTCCAGGTCCGGGGCACAGAGCAGGGGGAGCAGGAGCGTGGGACAGGGATGCAGGGGCCAGCAGAGACAATGCCCTGCAGGGGCCTCCGGAGCTTCCTGGGGGACGGCCGTGGCTGGCAGTGATGCTCTGACCCGACGGGGGTGGCCTGGGGAAGCAGAAGGTGCTATGTGTCCTGGCTGCTCTCGCCACCGCTGGACGTTCTAGGGGCAAGAGCCCCAGGGGAGGACCCTGCTCTTCTCCTCAGGGACCCAGAGGATGTCCCGGAGTTAAAATAGGGGCCCACCTGAGGATCGCCAGGGGAGCGAGGTAGAGATGGGAGGAGGGGGAGAAGCAGCCGCCTCTGGAGGAGGGAGGGCAGGAGCCAGCAAACGGCCAAGGCTGCCCACCTCCTGCTTCTGTCCTTCAGAAACACGCTGGCTGCCAACGGCCTCCTGCAGGTCTGCACAGCGCTGACCCTGTGCAAGGCCGGTCCCGCCAGGCAGAGGCGTCTGCATGGGTGCGCTCTCTGTGGGGTGCCTTGCTCCATTGCACGGGTTCTCCCAGCCAGGGAGGAGGGCAATGCCAGCTCCCCTGAGCCTCCTCCCTGGGGTCCCTTCCCACCCAGCCAAGGCTCCCTCCTCCTCCCTGGGGTCTCTTCCCACCCAGCCAAGGCTCCCTCCTCCTCCCTGGGGTCCCTTCCCACACAGCCAAGGCTCCCTCCTCCTCCCTGGGGTCCCTTCCCACCCAGCCAAGGCTCCCTTCCCGTCCTGAGCTTGGTGTCTCTCACCTGTTAGCATCGCCTACGGCTACCTACCGCCCCATCGCCCCAGCGTAAGAGCTCAGCAGGGCAGGGCGTGTGTTTGATGCACCACTTTAACCCACATACCGAGGAGAGAGGGAACCACAGGGAGTGGAGTCCTCTGCTTGGAGACGCTCTGTAATCCCAGCTGCCCCATGCTCACCACCAGAGAGAGAGACAGCTCAGCTACTCAGCCAACACGCAGCCATTTCTGTCTGTCCGGCAGGGGAGAGCAATAATACCAGCCACCCCCACTCCCCTCCCCTATGCCCAGCGTGTTATCACATTAGCTGCTTAGCAGAGGGAGGGGGCTCCTGTGACTTTCTGTTTCTTTGTCCCCCGCACGGAGCAGCTGATGGGGCGTGGGAGGACAGGGGTGGCCCGTTGCCGCGTGTGCACATGGCAGGCGCCCTGCAGCCTGGGTGAATGGAGTCCGAGGGCTGGGGAAGAGTAGGCTGGGCCTGACCTGTCACGCCTACAGACAGCCAAGCTTGCCAGGCGCTTAGACCGCATGGACCTGCTGAGGTTCTTTCCTACCTTGGTCCCTGGGAGGGAGTCCTGATTGGATGGAATCCCAGGAGTTGTCGTCTACCCTCTGCTTGCTGCCGGCCCCAGTGTCTCCCATGCCTGCAGGAGCCAGGTCAGATGGAGCCTGCATCTGTGCCAGGGAGTCGGGGCTGGGCCTGTCTCTGGGCCACTGGGGCAGGGAGCAGGGCCTGGCTACCCGGTGAGCTACTCCTCCGTGCACCCCAAGAGCTTTGCAAGTCCGTGGCCCTGCAGAGAGAAGAGAGATGATCCCAAGGACCTGATATTTCCCCTTCCCCTCTCTGCTGTCCCCAACCTCTCTGTGTCATTTGTGTCACAGCACTGAGGGCCTAGCTGGAGAGAGACAGGTGAGATGGCTGAGAGGGGGACCCAGCTCTCCTGCCGCCAGCCAGTCTTCCTCCTTTCAGGATTGCTTTGCCGTTGTATTTCTCTCCGCTCGGCCCCGCTGGCCTCAGCTGCCCGAGCTGCTCCCGCCTCTCCATCCATCACGCTGGCTGCGGGCACCAGGGTCCCTCGAGAGACACCTCTCTGCCCTGGGCCTCCAAGGAGACGGGCTCAGCCGTCAGAGAAGACAGACGTTTGCAAAGGGGCAGAGCACCAGGATTGATGGCTGTGAATTACGGGCGTCGCATCCCAGTCGGTCCCCAGCTGGAGAGGCTGTCCCTGCCTCCCTTCCCTGAGTCGCCTCTTGTGCCTGCTGTCCCCTCAGCATGTGTCACACTAGGCGCCTTCCCGTGTGGGCACTACTTGTGGCTGCGTCCGTAGTGGGTGGGGGTGTTGTGCAGACCGCCCCAGTCGGCGGGGACCCTCTGAGCAGGAGGCTGAGCCTCCCCCGCGGCCAGAGCCCGGCCCAGGGCTGCGCCACCCCTGGTGGGAGCTCGGTACTGAGCGGTCACCAAGCTCAGCTGAAGCGTGGTTGAAGCTCTCCAGGAGCCCCAGGAGAGGACCAGGAGAGGTTGTCCTCCATCTGTGGAGGCAGCAGTGAGCCAGACTGCACACAAAGCAGTCACCAGGAGCCATGTCGATGTCGCCCCCACGCCAAGCGGCACTTTGCAATACTCTGCTCCAGCGAGGGTTGCCCCAGCGCCTTCCTCCTGTCCCTCCACCCCTTCCTTCAGCTGGGGCTCTGCTCTTCCTCCTCTTCTGCTCCTGCAGCTCTGGTCTCTCCTCTGCTTGAGTCGCCTGTGGCCTCCCAGGCCTGGTCCCCGGGGAAGTTTCCCTTCCCCACCTCTGTCCCTGCCCATGCGCTTGTCACCGTGTCACCGTCACGGTCACCATCACCATTAGCATCTCGTGCCCTCCCCGGGCTTCCTCTGTCCCCTCTGCCAAAGAGTCCCACACCAGTGAGACCATGTCAGGATCCCTAGATGCTTCCTGCCCCATCTCCCATCCAATCTGCTACCTCTGCTCTCACCCTGAACTCACGTCTTCCTCCTAATTCACACGGCGTCCATCTCCTAACCAGTTACTCAGACTCCAGGCTTGTGTCCTTCAGAGCCTCCTCTCGCAGAACTTCCCGAACACCCGCCTGACCCTTCTGACCCTGCCCGCCAAACCCGGCAGGAGCGCCTTGCATGCTCTGCCCCTCTTATACACCCCCACTGTGCCCACATTCCCCGCCCCAGCCGTGCCAGCACGGTGCTCCTTCTGCTGAGGCCCCCTGCAGTGCCTTCCCCTGCCCACCCTGTGCCCCTGAGCCCCCACCGGCCCTGGGTGTCCTGGCCCAACACTCCTCTTCCAGGGCACCTTCCTTGATCTCTGCCCCCCAAGCAAATCGGCTGCTCCGCCTCGGTGCTGCCGCGGGGCTGTGTGCACACCTCTGTCTCGTGGCGACAGCTCGGATTCTAATGGTTTATTTATGATCTGTGCAACCCCCAGCCCGCCCCGCGTGTGTCTCGTCTCCCCAGCACCTGGAGTCCCTGGCTCACGAAAGCAATGCCTCTAAGTGACTGAATGAGGGGAATAAGATGAATGAAGGCATGCTGGGAGCGGACAGGCTGGTGGGCAGAGGCCGGCAGGTGAGGGTTACCAGGGACCAGCATCGAGGTAGGTGAGAACAGAGTGGGATTGAGCCGCAGGAGGGAAAGCTTTGAATCTACAAAACACCCTTTCCCTAGCTGCCCCCGTCAGCACCTTCTCAAAGTGAGGAAAATAAATCTGTTTTCCTTATGACAGAGGCTGATTTGATGATAAACCCTCTCAGCTTCCCAGGAGGCATTGGTGACTCTGATAGGTGGGGAGGAGGCAGGGGTGGGGAGGGGGGGAGAGGGAGGGAGGCGGGGGCGGAGCGGGGAGAAGGCCTGCTCTGTGCGCTGATTGCTAATGTGGGGAAGGCACAGCGGGTTCTGCAGGGAAGCGTTTGCTGTGCGTGAGAAGGCAGAGGAAGCAGGCAGCGTGTTTAGCAAGCCACCCACAGGCTCCCTGGCCAAGCTCGGGAAGGGGAGAGGGAGGGAGAGGGCCTGCAGGGTGGGGAGGCTCTGCTCAGCCCTGAGCCAGACGAGGCTCTGGTCATCCACAGCCTTTTAGATGGGGACGGGGCCCTTCTGCTGTCCAGGGGGCTGTGTCACCTGCTGTGTTACCTGCTGAGGTCACAGACTCCGTCCCTGGGGAGGCACGTACAGGTCACCGGGCCGTCTCCACCCTCCTCGGGGTGCACCCCGCCCAGGCCTGGCTCAGAAAGATCAAATCCTGCAGGGCCTTCTGGGAGTCCCTGTCCCCGAGGTGGGGGCGGTTCCTTTGGGGTGGCTGGGTCTGAGCAGTGAGTGGATATCGGGGGACGAGTGGGCGTCCCCTATAACTTTCCTCCCTCACCCCTGAGAGGAGCAGAGTGGCCTGCACGGTGGGTGGGCGGCTCACCCCCGGCCCTGGGGGCTCCTGTGGTGGGGGGCTTGCTCTGAAGATCAGTATCGGGTCCCTGCCCCCATCTCGTCCTGTCTCTGGGTACCCTTTCTGTTCAGAACACAAAACAGCACGTGCACTCAAGGCGTTGCAGACTGTTCCTTCCAGATCGGAATCTAATCCTCTCCTGGCCAGAGGAGGGAAACAGAAGGAAAGAGACTTGCCTGAGGCCACCCAGCAGGTGGGGGGGCAGTGAC